AAGAACAAAATCATTCTCAAAGGACAAGAAGGATCACTAACAATCCGTCTATATCTACAGAAAACAACCACCTGCTCGAACACCCTCCATCTTTGACTTTAGACTCTGCCAAAAAGATAGAATCTGTGACGCCGGACTACCGGACTCCGGAATGCGGAATACGCTATCTATTGTTTGTACGCGCCAATATCCTGTTATAACTGGTGTGTTGAAAATAGGTTGTGAAAGTAGTGTTACTTGAAATTTTGAGTTTATTCGATGTTGACATTAATTACCATGATAATAATGGTCCATAATAGCCCTTTTTTTAGTCAGACCGTGCCGTGCAATTTTTAGACAATTAATGACTTGCCACTGGGTATAATTACTTAGTAATACTTACTTGTATTTTAATCCTCGTAGTCTTACAACTATACAGGTTGGTATCTGTATCTGGGTATATTATTGACTACAAAAATATATTATAAAATAACTAAGATAGTACGCGCGCCCTGATTGGCCGAGAGCAGTGTTTGCATGAGAGTATGTAAACATGGTTGTGGCGTCAAGTTGTTTGGCTTTTCGCGCGCTAATCACGCAAGCAAGAATTTGAAAAAGTTTTCGAGTTCAAAACTCGACAAGTTTACTTTATTTACCCATTCCTTCGTCGGTTGAAACATGGAAAATCGTTACAAAGAAGGTGAGTCAATTTTTCTTCGCTTAAGCTGACATTTTAAGCGAGAAAAATCCGTATTTTGCAAAGCATGTTTTTGCAAAACAAGAACTGATTACGCGTGCAAGACTTCGTGGACAAGATTTTGCGACTGGTAAGAATTTCTCTTTTAATCAGTGCCATACAAAGAGTTTTGCGTTTTTTTCTCGGGAAAGTTACTTTATAAAAGCAATAGAAAACTTTTTTCCTATGTTTGCATAGCCTGATATAAACACTCGAGGCGTTGGGAGAATTCTCGACGGTTATGCAAACCCTCGACTTCGTCTCGGGTTTGCATAACTGTCTCGAATTCTCCCAACCCCTCTCGTGTTTATACCAGGCTATGCAAACACGGAAAACGTTTTCTATTGCTTAAATAATAACCGTTTATAAACGTGTTGAGGAAAAACTTTTGAGGAATACAAAAGACCCAAAAGGGGGCACTAATACATTGCAAAAAAAGTCGGCTAGACTTCTTTGGCTATAAGGAAGGTGTAAAGGAACAGTTTCTTGAACACAGACTAATACACTATATTCACTTCTCATTTAAGCTGTCATTTGCGGATTCATACAGTAGATTAAGTTCTCTTAACGGACACTCTCGTATATAGCGAATAGCTCTAGCCTACTTACGACCGCCATCACAAAATCCCGTTTCAACTCCCACACAAACTCTGGATTTTTACATTCCCGTAGGCGGCCGCGGACACTTAAAGGGTTTACCGGCGAATTAGATGTTAGCTTTGATTTAAAGCTCTCCTAAGCAGACACTCGAAAGAAATCTTATCCGCCTCTGAATGTTGTTTTTGTTTTTCATATCATGTCCACAGTTATATGGCTGTTTGTCACTGTTACGAACTGGCATTCTTATATATCCGTTTCAGAGTTACCGTTTTTTCACATACTCGTCCGGTTACACTTGAAAACACAAACTGAATTGTATGCTTTTACCTAAATTACAACAAGGCAAGAACATCAGCGTAACCATACACTAAAAAACAGTTTTTTGCTATTACCAGTGTTAATTTGTAGCTGGGAGGAGCTTCCGTAAGCGGCTATCTAACCTTTACACCACTTTTAAAGTGGCTGAATTCCACTTGCATAACTATGCTGCATATGAGATTCATTCTTGTAAGCGGCCAGATCCAGTTAAGGACACCTTTTTCTCGTCCCGAGGGCGCCCTCGTACGAGAGCTTCCACTGTATTACAATTTTAGGATTTCTCTTACATTTTAACAAATTTTCGCTTAACGAGGCACAGTCGAACCTACGTGCGACCACCCAACTTAAGTGACCACTTCCCAATAAGCGATCACTTATTCAACACACCAAATATATTATTAAGTCAAAGCGCTTGTAGTTGGAACCTCCTGTAAACGAACACATCCACATCCAGTAAGCGACCGCGACCACTTTTTACGATGACAGTCTGATTGAGAATTTTCCATGATGCAATGGTCTGATCTCTGCGTTCCCTGTATGTCCTAAGCTACTCGGAGTATGAGAGGAACTTTAGCTTAGAAACAAATTAGATTTATCTATAGTATATTGTAACTTAAAAATTGCATGCAGTACATTCACTCCAAAAAGTAGATGCATCCGCACTTTTCCTCGTTAAAGACCTCCTGCAGTTCGACTCTCGTAAAACCCAAATTTTCCTTGGGCAACCCCATGGGCATTATTTACTGGGTGTCTTCCGACCACGCAAGGACCGGAACATCAAATGTCTGTAACTTAATTGTTGTGTCTGTCCATAATTCAACATCTGCCTGACTCAGCACGGCACACGGCTGGGCACTAAACTGGTTTTGGTGCCCAAGAGTACGCAAAAAGGCCCTTCCAAGATCGATGTCTAGGATGAGAAAATTGACCTTACCTGGGTAGGGTGAGAAATTTGAAATCGAAGTATTCCAGTTGAAGTATCTCTCGGAGGGAATGTGGGAAGGGTGTTAAACATATGGAAGCGGTTGTTTGAGAAAAATATCTAACTCAATTTGAAAGTTTGGTGTATTTTGAATTCTACTTGGGAACATTAGTGTCACAGTTAGGCTTTATAAGACCCCCAAAAGACCGTGTGAGATAAAAAAAAATTCACTGTTTACGACGGTCAAATCTGGTGCCGGCAGGGTAGGGCATTTGTACGCAATTTGGACACTCCCCCGGGGAGAAGGGACTCCAGTATGAAAAAAAAATGGAATTCTTGTCGCAAGCCAATCTGGACGTGTCTCACGCTTTATTTGTCTCTTTGAACTGGTCTGCACCAACATCCGGCTTCACTTCGCTGCTATTTCACATGCAACTAAAATAGAAAAAACAGTTCTTTCCAAAACACGAAGACAAAACGACTTCTATCTCCGAGTTTGAGAAGACATGGTATCATTTATAATCATGGTCTGAATAAAGTTGCCAATAGATTTGGAATTCTAAATTATTTATCAGCATAAAATAACAATAAAATAATCTCAGAGAATGTCGGAAAGTCATTTTGTTCACTGAACTCTGGCTCCTGGCTCCTGACTCCTGGTTCCTGACTCCCGATACGATGTTTCCGTATGGTGGCAACCGCTGCTTAAAAATGCGGGCTCCATTTAATGTCAAAGATGTCGGACGTTTGCAACATGTGAATTGAGCTACAACAGTGGCGGAAATAGTTCTTTCAATGGGTTATTAAGAATCGGCTTTCTACCTTTCGTATTGTTTTGTCCTAAAACAACTTGATTTGGATTTTGGTGCGTAAACTGATGGCTAAGGATTTTAGTCGTACAGCGAGTCACGACGCTGAACTACGCTGAACTGGACATCGAAGGTGGCATGAAGAACAAATCAAAGCGGGCACAAACTAGCAGTTGAGGCATCTAAGAGATACGTATATGGATTTTATTGATCGTTTATATTGTTTTTAGGGCGAAATTGTTAAAGTAAATAGAACTGTGAATTAAATCTTTGTATGTTGTTTTTACTTGAAAAGATCGCGTATATAGCTATCAAAAATCATCGCTAGCGTTTCATGCACAACAATTTTTATGATTTTACCCTTATTAATGTTAAATCGTTGTCTGATGAGTTTTTTGTTCGATTTCTCCTCATTCAAAGGCAAACACACGAATATTGTGAGGGCCTGAATTTTGATGAAATATCCAAAAGTTGTTCAGTCACATGAACAGTTTATGTCAACACATGGAAGAAAGTGAATTGCCCAAACTTTTTATGATCTTTTTCTCAACTTAAGTGATGGCTTTAACCACTCATGCAAAAGTTATAAAGATAAGCGGTTGCTCATCAGAGATATTTGGGAATAAAATACCCTAATTTTACGTCTTACTCAAAACTTGGAAATGATGACCCAACTTAAGGGGGCTAGGAGGGGGGAAATCGAATCGGCGACTTTAAACAGTTTATATACTGTGCTTAAGGTCTTATGATGTCAGATTATCTCTCAGTGCATTTAAGTTCCAGGTGGCTTTTCTGTTTGTTGCACTGGCATCGTAAAGTTAGCTAATTAATTATGCATAAACGGGCAAAATGGCGATTTTTACAGGGGGAGCCCGGATCTCCCAGGGAATTTAATATTTTGACCTGACATTCTGTCACATAAGCTAACTCCTGATACCTAACATTTGTGCCAAGTTTGAGCGAAATCGGTGATTTGAGCATTATCACCCCCTGCCTGGTTCTGCCTGGTTTTCTCATGGACACACTCTTAAAAAGAGAACACAATTTCTGTTTTTGGAGTCTTGAACAGGCCGTATCCTTTTTGGACCAAAAGCCTTTAAAAGAGTGTGAAGGTTGGCTGTAAGAGGACTTCAGTATAAACTGTCTTCATTTGTGATACCAAGACCTTTTTCACAAAAAAAATTCCATGAAGGCATTTTAAACATTATTTAATTTTGCCATACGAAAAGAAATGAATCCGGGTCATAAAATAAGGAGCTTGTCTTAAAAGAGTCGCGAAATGAACGATTTTTGTGGATGTCTTAAACTGGGTTAGGGCTTGATGGCTTCGGTGGTACATTAACATCCCTTGAATGTCCCCCAGGGAATCACCATATCGAAATACTTCTTTTTTTTCCAGTAATTTTGAGAGAACTAAAATTTGTTTAAACAAGAATAATCACAACGCCATACCTTTTTACTTATCAAGCAAGGAAATTTTATTGACAACCAAACGAAAATTCAAGAAAAGATTAACTTGGTATCAGTTCATCCGATTTGCTTTACTTATTTGCGTTTTCTTTGCTCTCAGATCAGTAATGTTCTAACCGCGTCGACGGCATGAGGCATACTTAAGTACAACATGCGTGGGCCTATAACAGCACTTATGGGTCCGTGGGTTGTAGTAGGCTAAACCGCATCTCAGTCGCGGACGGCAGGGGACAAACCTGGAGATCACTCTACGGTTACAGCACTTTTGGGTCCGTGGGTTGTAGTAGGCAAAACCGCATCTCAGTCGAGGACGGCAAGGGAGAAACCTGGAGATCACTCTACGGTTACAGCTGAAAACCCAGGCACCCAACATCTTCCGTTTTGGCGTAGAGTCAGCTCCTGCCGTCCCCTGTTTGGACCTCTAGTGAGATGCCAATGTCGTGAAAACCCAGGCACCCAACATCTTCCGATTTGGCGTAGAGAGTCGAGGACGGCAGGGGAGAAACTTGGAGATCACTCTACGGTTACAGCACTTTTGGGTCCGTGGGTTGTAGTAGGCTAAACCGCATCTCGGTCGAGGACGGCAAGGGAGAAACCTGGAGATCACTCTACGGTTACAGCACTTTTGAGTCCGTGGGTTGTAGAAGGCAAAACCGCATCTCAGTCGAGGACGGCAGGGGAGAAACTTGGAGATCACTCTACGGTTACAGCACTTTTGGGTCCGTGGGTTGTAGAAGGCTAAGCCGCATCTCGGTCGAGGACGGCAGGGGACAAACTTGGATATTTTACGTCCGAAACAGCACTTTTGGGTGATTCGGTTGTATATACCACAGCGTGACGCAACCGGCGTGTTGCTTTTTAGCACATTTTCATCGGCTTCCTCGCTGGATTCTGTGAAGAAATGGGGTCAATTGAAAAAAGAAAAATTCGAAAGCAGTTAATTTTTTGCACCACGTACATGTACATAGCGGGTGGTAGCAACAAAAAAGATTAAAGTCGAAAGCAAAACATAAAGAAATCTTAAACCCATAAGGTCTATGATGTCTTTTGTAATAGGAAAGAGTATTGGCTATACAATCTGGCTCTTCTAGTCACCATATAAACTGAATAAAGAAGATTTTTTTTCAAAATCGAAACTTAACAGCAAATTTAACTCATTTGGCCGAATCTTATCTCATAATTGAAATGTTTAAACCATATACAATGTAAGGTCATAACACCTCTTTAGTACAAACTGAGAGTAAATAAAAGCCGTTGATTTAAGTTGCCGTTCCTCAAATAATAGCCGTCCCTCGATTATACGCCTCCCTCAGTCGAACAATCGCCCCCCTTGAACGGAAATGTTTAAAATAATCGTCTCCCTCGAATAATCATTCCCCCCCCCCCCTGTCAAGTGTAAGTGCAATGTGATCCAGCAAAACTGATCAGTGACGATTCAAGCTATGATTATTAATCAAGGAACTAAATTTGGAACACTTCAAAAGCCTATGTTCAATTAATTTGATGTGATTATTTTTTTATTTAATGGGATGGTAAAACAAAATACTTCCAGTGAGCAATATTTGAAATAATCACCTCCCTCAAATAATCGCCTTCCCTCGAATAATCGCCCCCTTTTTGTGCGGAAAAAGAAATAATCGGCCCCGGCTATTATTCGAGGAAATACGGTACCCACAAAATGTACCTCAAGGTATGTACGGCAGGTAATGAAGCGTACTGAGTACAACTACTCTTCTGACCTACCCATGAGAGGGCTGTTTTCGTCATCAGCGTCAGCAGCTTGTTCTTCCTCATAATCTTCTTCATCCTGTCCTGCTTCGTCCTCCTTTTCTTCGTCATAAACTTCTTCAACTTCATCCTGGGCTTCTGTAAATAAGTCATCAGTAAACAGGTAATAAAATCATAAGAGAGCTATTTCAACTCAGAAAAATGCACACATTAAAAAGGCATGACATCTCTTCAGTGTATAAATATATATCAGCAAACTCAGAGTAAATAAAAGCCATTATTGTTTTGTTTGATTTGAATTACCACAAAATGTACGGCAAGGTATGTACGGTAGGTAATGAAGCGTACTGAGTACAACTACTCTTCTGACCTACCCATGAGAGGGCTGTTTTCGTCATCAGCGTCAGCAGCTTGTTCTTCCGTATAATCTTCTTCATCCTGTCCTGCTTCGTCCTCCTCTTCTTCGTCATAAACTTCTTCATCTTCATCCTCGGCTTCTGTAAATGGGTTATCAGTAAACAGAGAATAAAATAATAAAAGAGCTTTTTGAACTCCGAAAAACACACACATTAATTAGGGCACCCCGAATCAAGCCCGTTAAACCTCTTTAGTATATGTGCAGCAAATTACTGCAAAAACTTCAAACCTGAAATTGAAGGAATAAGACTGGTTCACTAGAGGCATAGAGGAGCCTTTTATGTTCTACAATCGCAACCATCTTTTAATCGAGAAGGGGATACCATGTAATTATTGGGGATCTGGAACAATCTCCTGGGGTCACTGCGAAAGCGCAGTGACTTCACGTATTAAGGAAGTTTTAATTTAGTGGGAACAAATGAAAGTTGAGAATACTGCACTTTCGATCAAATAATACCTGTGAGTAAGTTGTTTTCCTCGTCAGACTCAGCATTTTCCTCGCCAGCTGATTCTTCGTTGAATTGATCTTGTTGTGTTTCCCAATTTTCGTCGTCTGTTTCTGAATGATAGAAAGTAATTAAAACAAAAATTCAACAAACTGAATAAATGATTAATTAATGAACTGATCATACGGGAAAAAACCACCTAACAAGTAGATTTATTGAATTTGTACTGAACTATTTAAGAGTGATTGAACTTTTGTTCTCATGGTTTAATTTTATAAGGCCCATGCAGAGGCTACATTAGCGAGTCCAATAAAGGACTTTTTTCTGTTCGGAAAATTAAAAGCCGACACGAAGACGCTCGCCAAAACTTTGTGGACAATTTGGTTGGTTTTTTTCGATGGAAAAGTCACTTGCTTCTAAGTTCTTATTCATGCTTATTGTCTGGACTATTTGAACAAAAAAGGTTTGCGATGTGTAATTTCTCCAACAGAGAAAGCAGTATTCTTTTTCTTTGAATGTTCAATCTAAACTATAAAAAAAAAAACCTGTAACTAAAAGGACACCGGGAATTAATATATGAATAGAAGACCGGGTTGATAATACAGATTAAGTGAATTGCAGTGCCAAGTGTGAGAAATTATCTAACAAAACGTTGTCTTGAAATGGTCAAGCTTCAAGGTTTTACCTTTGTCCTCTTGCGTGGGGATCCTTTCATCTTCCCTGTCATCTTCAACAAGATTTTCAGCTACATCTTCAGCATTATTGATCCCAATGGGAGTGTTTTCATGAGGTGCAACACTCTCCTCAGCCGATGTTTCTGCTTTTATAACAGCAAAAACCGCGAGAAGAACGAGTATAATTCCTCGAGTAACGCGCTTCATGTTGGCTGCCAGCTACAGTGCCGTTTCTGTTTGTGAAACAGGCCTTTTCTAATAAGACAAAGCGGAAGCAAATTCCAATTACTAGTTCAATTGTCCTTTTTAAAGTGTAATTGCCTCTCAGGTAAAGTGAGCAACTACTTATGAGGCTTACAGCAGATATCAAGTTTGAAATGAGTGCTTAAAACTTAAATGGTCAATATGTGAGAGGATGAATGATTACAGTTTGTATTCGAGAGGACGGACTGGCCGTTTTTCACTTTTTTTAACCTGTATGAAGGAAAGACCCTACATCTACTAAAGTTATCAAAAAGTTCAAGAAACTTAGGCAGCATTCCACAATTTATAACGTCCTCAAGATATACATGTAAATAGAAAAGGAAACGTCAATTGTAACAATATTGATTCCCCATCCTTCCTTCATATGAATCAGTTGATGCGATTTAACCTTCATAAAATGATGAAAATATTACTTTGTCAACCACCGAGTCCCTTTGCAGTAGAATCATTGAGAAGCGTCTTTTATCTCAAAAGTTTAAATGTTCATAAACCTTATTTACTTGCACTATTGATTCAGTTGTACAGGGCAGATAAAATTGTCATCAAAATAAAAGATATTTGTGGCCGGATGACTGTATTCGTATACCTAACGCTAAAAGGAAGGAGTCAATGCCCTCTACACAGGCAAGCACAAAATATATCGTTAATATTGTTTTATTCTCAACTCCACGGTCCTTGTTATTTTACTGTACTTATATAAATATATTTAGTCATCGATTTGCTGAAAGGGCACCTGAAACGTTAATTTAGTCACGTATTTGGAACGTTAGAAATTATATCTTATCATTGTTCTTTCAGCTCCCCGCTTTTAGCGCTACTCAATAAATGTTAACTAATTTGAGAAGGCATCCATTATGGCATTCAATTAGATTATTGAAGGATTGTGATTTACGTGACGGTGAAAATTAAGTGTGCTCGCGCTTGACGAGTGAGCTGGTTCTCTTACTCTTAGTTCCGGCCCGTTTCCCACGGGACCATTGCGTCATTGGGACGGCTGAATAGAGACATTTTTTTATTATAGGATGTGTCACGGCTGGCTTGTTCATTTTTTTTATGATGCCAATTACGTGTCCATATTCGCTATGGAGATTAAGAGATAATATGTAAATGACAAAATCACAGCTTTGCATCAAACAAATATGTCTCCCAAGCATTAAATCAAACGTTTCCAATGAACAAAAATGAATTATTGAAAAACTGTTTGGCTAACAAGATTTCAAAACGGCCCCTATCGCAATCCGTTTCAATCTTCGTCGAGTTTGTCCATCCCTGTCTTCTTTTATATTTGCTTTGCTGTTTATAAATTCTTTTGATTTTTTGAGTGGTTATCTTATGTTTTACTCAACTCGGTGGCAGGTTCCTGTACTCTTTTAATTTTGATATTAAGTTTCTTGACACAGCTTCTTTAACATTCCCCGCAAAAATCAACTGCCATATGCGTTTTACAATATTTCGTAAAACCTCCAACTTCTAACATTTTTCTTTATCTGTGAAAACTTTGAGAACATCTTCAGAAATGATATGTAACTGACGGAGTGCCAAATTGTGTTTGGGGACATTTCTCGTTAGGCCATTGAGGTTCATTTCAGGGGCTGCCCCACAGCGTTTATTGTGGCTCTGTCAGTCAGATAAAAATACTAAAATGCGCACAAATACCTTATCAACGGTACGTAATCATTAGTTCTCAGTTAAAATTACACTGAACTTTCTTTACCTTAATCGAGAGAAAGCTCTTTAACATACAGAAGACATGTAAAAGACTCATTTTTTGACCGGTACTGATTGGTCGTTAAATATAGCTGCTAGATGTTTTTGTTATTACTCTGTTCGTAACTGAAGGTATCTGTAATCTTTTAAGCCGTGAGCATGTTTAGTCTTTTTGAGGGTTTTCTTTTAATATTTGCCTGCTCAAATAAGTGAGAAGTTATTTCATGCACGACTTCGAGGAAGAAACGATTATAAAAATTGTTTTTTTTAACAATGGTTTCCCAATCTATGGCTATAAAAGTAGGATGATCTATAATCACCGTGTTTTTCGTCTCTAAAAATTAAGTGTAAACCTTTTTTATTAAAAATTTTATCACTCATTTTTGAAAAAACTTTTGTAACTTATGTTGTACATCTTATCTCAAGGAGGCCAATTTGGAAGGCAAATTTGAGGTTTCAGAGGTTATATTGAAATACAGTTTTCTAATACCTTTAAGTCTGAAACAAGAAGTAGGCACTTGAGAACTACTGACGTTCAATGTAGTATTATCCAATTGGTAATAGCCTGAATATGCGTAAGACAAGATGTTCAGGTCATTCAGAGTAAACGTTTACACAGCCGAGAGGAGCTTCCACAAAAGAAACGCTCAATTATAGCTTGTTGCCATGCCAAATTCTCTAACTGAAGTTCATCCCAGTCTATGTTGGCCCCCTTTCACATGTAAGGCTCCTTGAAACCTTTAGTATTAATTTCATAGTACAAGCTCACCTAGAGATAACCTCGGGCCGAGTGAATCATAAAGCGCTTGGCACTGAAAAGTATAGGCGCTATATAAATATTTTTTATTATTTTTATTATATTATTATTATCTGAAAGGTTAAGTTACACGGTTTCTAAAGAAATGAGACGACATTTTTTAGCCTTAATTTTAAGTGGGAAATCGTAAAAAAAGTGCCCTGTCATTTCCTTTTTGTCGCTTGACTGAGTAACTGAGTATTGAAATGGGTCAACTTACTCGGATAATTTAGGAAAGTTAGCACAGTACCAAACGATCACAAAATTGATTGAAATAAAAGAATACAGTGAAACCTCGATATAACCTCTATATAACGAATTCCTCGGTATAATTAATTATTCCTTGAGCCCGAATGGTCTCTGACTCAGAAGCCATGAGGCGAGAGGAATACAGTCGACTTTCGATAACTCGAACCTTCAAGGGAAATCGAAAAAAGTTCGAGTTATCGGGAGCTCGAAGAAAATATTCGAGAGTAAGGTAAAAAACAGTTTTTACTGCACAGTGAACATTGTAATCACATTTAATTGTAGAAATGTCAAGTGAAAATTAAAAGATACTTCTAGATTATTTTAGTCTTGCATTGCATTGTTTTGTATCGGATTTATCTCGTACGCAAAATGACAAAACTCTTCATTTCGACGAAGACGTTAGCCTGTGACAATCAACATCAGCCTCCATTAGTAAACTATACTCCTACAACACGTTAATAGGAAATCCAAAATTCAATGTTTCGGACGCCAGTAGACGGCTCTTTTCCCGACTTTTTAAGGGCTCAAAACATGGTTCGAGTTATCGAGGGTAAAATTATATAGAAAATGACCTGAGGGGAAACGAAAACTGGTTCGAGTTAGCGGGAGTTCGAGTTATCGAGGGTTCGAGTTACCGAGGGTAAAATTACAGTAAATGTATGACAGAAATCCAGGGGAAATCGATTTTGGTTCGAGTCAGCGCGAGGTTCGAGTTAGCGAGGGTTCGAGTTAACGGGAGTCGACTGTAATTGTTTTAGTAAAATCCAACTAGTTGATAGAGCGGTTTTCACTTGACTGTCGTAAAACCAAAACCAAAGTAAATACACTAGCCAACCAAAGGGCGTAGTAAAACCAAAACCAAAACCAATCCCTTTCGACAGTCAAGTGAAAACCGCTCTAAAAAATATCGAGGCAAAACAACTCTAGCAAGCAAAATGCGATTCAGCCGCCAGTGTTTTAGTTCTTAAAGTCGGCGCAATCGCTACTAGTTCCAGTTATAAGACATAGCCTACTAGTAGTAACTCAGCCAATCAGAACGCAGCATTGATAATAGACCTCGATAGACCGCTAGTTGGATTTTACTACCAAACGATATTCTTCGCACCAGTAATAGTAAAACAAATAGGAAAGAACCTCGATTTAAACCTCGTTATGGTGAACAAAGTTTGCTAGTCCCAATTTGTTATATCGAGGTTGTTTCACTGTAGCTGCTCTGGATCAGTTGACAAAAAAACACAAGAGAAGTACAGAGTCAACTGAAGCCAGAAAGAAAAAAAAGGGTACCCACTGTTATCCTTTCTTGCTTATATCTACAATCGGCGACAAAATTAGTTGAGACACTTTGTCTTAAAGGGGTTTTCTGACGCTTTACTGACTTCCAGGGAGGAAAATAAAGCTTTTAATCCCCCATCCACTTCATGCAATGTTGTGCCGCTGTTCGAGCTACCTCTTGAAAACAACAAACACCACAACTTTGAATGAAGAAGAGTGGAGAGGGGGGAGCGGGTGTGTATTCTTTTGTTGTCTGTTGTTACCCTATTTGAGTACAATGTCTCAACAATTTTGTCGGCGATTGTAACCTCATTTTTGGAAATGTCATTCCTACCGAAAATTGTAGCAGTTTGACTGAAAAGTAGCCAGAAGAGTAAGTTTTAAGCATCCAGTCCAATAACCCCAAAAACAAACTGTAGAAGGAAAAGGAGAGGAGAAATGAGAGTGCAAGAAAGCAGTGCTTGTACTCTTAGCTTCTATGTTGGCTACGTGGGAGAAAAATTATTTATTATCCTTATTTATTTTTCACTTCACTCCTATAGCTACTTATGATTGCGTTTTCCCCTAATTTGGTGCTTCAACGTCGTTTTTAGTGTTAAAAATCAGGCCCACAGGCTAAATCAAATACCTGTATTTCAGTTTCCACTGTATTTCAGTAGAGTGTAACGCAATGCCACTTGAATGCAATATATGATCATATATAATGACAACATTTATGATTTTGCAAAATTGTCAGATTTTCGCAGCCTCAACAATTAATTTTTCGAAATACCTTGCGATTTTTCGAAAGCTTACCTTGTTTCGTCCAGGTAGTGGTTTCTTGAGTCTCGTCTCGCGTGGCTTATGGTTGCTGTTCACTTGAAACCACTCTAAGGCATACAAAATTGCTAAGCAGGCGTCAGGGACGTCCTCGATTTGCACTAGCCTGCGAGTAAGCTCTCCTATTTGGGCGAGCAAAGCGAGCCGCGCAAGAACGCGCGAGCGAGCGGCGAAGCCGAGAGGGGGGGGGGGCGGCCCCTAGCTCGCG